CCCCNCCCCCCCCCCCCCCCCCCCCCGTCCCGTTGGAGTCGTTGCCCACATCGAAAGCCAGGAACCAAGCGCTTAGAATACATGGCGATTGGAAGGATCTCACGCACTCGGAAGGGATGGGGCCAGCCAGGGCAGACCACACAGCAATGAGCTGCACCTCCTCGGCGCTGCTGCTCTTCCTCCACCCTGATCAGTGACCTTTTCTTGGGTGGTAGCGTCGGTCTTTATGCCGGTCTGTGAGCCCTAGTTCGCCCGGGTGTAAGAGAATGCGTGTAGCTTGGGAGCGAGAGCGGGAAGAGCACTGTGTAAGGCGTATGATTGCGGACACCCACGGCAGGGCAAGACCACATGGTAGAACAAATATGTATCGAGGGGGCCCAGTCTTCCTGTGCCGGTGACAAGATCTTCTTGTCGTGTTCCGACGGATTGGTTCTTCTATCAACCTTATTCCCGCCTCGCCGGTCCTGTCCCTGCTCTCTGCTCCCGGGAGCCGTTTGATGCCATCGTCCGGATATCTGTTGACAGATCCGTGGGTTTGAGTTATTCGTTTTATTTGATCTGCGATCATGTCTCGGTAACAGGTCGACTACCATTTCCTTGTGATACCTCTATTGACCTTTCGTGGGTCGGTCATTGAGTTCGACGAAGACGGAGAGGAAAGAAGATCGACGATTCCTACGAACAACGACCACTACGCCTGGAATAACCTCCGTTGAATCATTAGGATCACACTATCAGATATGTCAACAGCGACAACAACAACTCAGGCGGGAGGCGGGTTCTCCCTCTTCCCCAACACCAACGTCACACCAAGACCACCTTCAAGGCCGTCGAGAGCTGCGACGCCTCAAGGTCGACCTTCGACATCAACAGAACCATCATCGTCCCGGGAGGCAGGAAGGCAATCGCCAATTGGACGGGTAATACTACGGGAAGGGAAGCAAAGGTCGGCTTCGAACTCCAATAACCCCTGGCAGTCAGCGCTAGACTCGGCTCGACAGCAGCGGGAACATCGAGAGCAACCTCAGGAGCAACCGCAGCGACCACCACTACCTGAGAACATGTCATCGGATCCCATCGTCGAAACCAGTGTTGCTGCACCCATCTCCGAAGCAGACGCGCCTCCACGCTGCGAGACGACACTGTCCGAGGCAGAGACGCTGGTCGGGCAGCAAAGTAGGGGAGCTCAAAGCTCGTTCGCCAACCCACCGATTGCATATACTCCTGGACCTTCGAACACAGCAACGGTAGCAACTCCTACCTCCATCCCCGAACCACCACAACCACCACAGCCAGCTGCCATTCGATCGATATTCCCACGATATAACCCCGAACTGCCCCTAGATCGCCAGGACTACTACCCAACCCAGGCCAGTCCTACACATATTCCCCAGTCCGCCATCAGCAGACCCATGTACTCAGCCCGTGACACCGACCAGCAAAGTGAAGTTGGCCCCAATGCTGGCACGAATGGTCCCAGTCATACCAGAAACCGGCCGGTAGCCAACCCGTCCGTGACCTCTGGATCAGCCAACCAACGGTGGCCTGTAACGCGCAGCCATGAGCCGCCAGTGCTACCGACGGTGAACACCACCGAGGAACTCCGTGGTCTTTGGAAAGCCGCCAACGGATGGCGAGCCACGCAGCTCGAAGGCCGGAAATACTGCCTGAAAATGGCGTCGGACGCCTACGCGCCCGTCTACACGCTCTCCTCATCCTCCAACCAGCCCTTCTACTGCCTGCGGGTCGACCCGACCTCTGCGTCCGCCCTGGTTTCGCTCTCGCGCTACGACCCCAACAAGACCTTCAAGGGTGACAAGTCCACCAGCGCGGCGGTGGGAATCTCCGCCGCCTCGGCCGTGGCCTCTTCTGCCTCTTCCTCCACCTCTTCGGCCTCCTCCTCGCCTATCCCGAGCGCCCGCGCCTCGTCCAGCACGCCCTCCCCCCGTCCTTCATCCGTCTTCTCCCGCAACCCAGACGGCTCCGGCGGGGCGTTGGGCGGCGCCAGCATCAGCAAGAGCACCAAGACCAAGAAACACGACGCAAAGCACTGGCAAGAAGTAATCTCCACCACCCTCGAAGCCGCCACGCGCAAGCAGCCGCCCAACGACGGGTTAGTCGCACAGCTATGGCCCCTCACAGCGGCGCGCCTGGTGTCCGACCGGGCCACGACCGACGCGGCGACGGTGGCGGCGGCCGAGAACGAGTGCGGCCGGCTGGTATGGGACTCGGATTCGGGCAACCACTACCTGGTGCACGCGGCCCTGGCGATGCCCTTCTGCATCACGGTCGAGCGCAACGCGGCTTATAGCCGCACCGAGTACACACTCGAGCACATCGAGTCGCCCAACCACCTGGGCCGGCTGACGCGGGATGGGACGGGCCAGGGATGGCTGGAGATTGATACGGCGATTGCGAGCCATGTCGAGGCAGTGTACCTGATCGATGTGGCCATTGCTGCACTGGTGCTGGTGGCGCATGCTGATGAGCAGTTTACGCGCGTGGAGACTTTTGAGCCGCCGCCGTCGTTGTTGCGGGGTGCTGGTGGTGGTGGTGCCGGCGTTGGAGGAAGCCAGAGGTCGAGCTTGGCGGAGTCCTTGTCGTCTGTGCTGAGAAGGAATACCTCGGATGAGAAGAAGAACGGCAATAAAGATGATAAGAAGAAGAGGAAGAAGAGAGAGAAGGACTTGGTCAAGGGGATCAAGACCCGGGTCGAGCAGTTTGAGCTCGATATCGAGGCACAGGTGAATGCGGATATGAAGGCCAAGAACGAGAAGATGCCGGGTTGCACGAGGGGGCTTATTGCCGTCTTGAAGTTTGCTTTTAAGGCTATTATCTGGTGCGCGACATTGGTGTTTAAGGTGTTTATGTTGCTCATAAAAGGATGCGGTAAGTGCAGAATCTCCCGAAGAAGTGCCCCTTGCCATGATGAGAGGGTTTTGACTAATGAGATATGCGTTGGTGTAGGAAAGGGGGCACGCTGAAATAAAACCCTGAATCAGAAAAGGAGGATAGCAACCCAAGCAACTTGGCAATACCCCAACAAGGACACCGTGAAACTGACAGCTGGAGGTCCAGAGAAAAATCATGTTGATGGAGCTCATGAAAAGGTGTATATTTTTTTTCCAGGCGTTTTGATGATGGGCCGGGTATTATTGTGGTTGGTATTTTGCATCATCATCATCATCAACCGCACCAAGAGCAGTAGCTATGGAAGCTACTTAGCTGTCTTTATAGACGGATTTGAATGGAACCCTCAGACGAGACTATTTGTGTTGATGTCGTCAAATCGCTTCTTGGAAAAATTGAACCCAGTGAAAATCGGAACAAAAAAAAAGCAGCCCACCAGTAAGGAAGGGAACAAAGAGAGAAGAGGAAAAAAACGGAAACCTTCTGTCCAGTCCGTCACCTTTTTCTCTCCTTGACCTTGATCCTCCTGCCGGATTTTGTGATGCCGCCAGACGTTCGTGTCTTGGCCATTTTGGCCTGTGTGATCTCCAGCTCCGTCTCAGCATCCGTTAAAGCCTTGAGCTTCTTCTTGGCCTGCTTGAGCCTGTTCTGCAGTCTCGCCAAGTTTCGCGCCTTCCGACCCGCCTCCTTTGCCTTTTCCTCGTCCTCTTCTGAATCGAAATCTTGCATCTCTTGGTCTTCCACTTCCTGTAACTTTTGCTGTCGCTCCTCTGCCGCGTCGAAAAAGACAATCTTCTTGGGTACTGTCCTCCCGCTCGAGCTCTTCTTCTTGTTCTTGTTGCCGCCCATATCCTCATTCAAGTCCTCGAAATCGTCGCCATCGTCGTCGTCCTCGCTATCGTCGTCCACGTCGGCGCCACCAGCAAGAATGACCCTCTCCGTCAGCTCGCGCACCTCCTTGGCAGCCACGTTCCGCATCGTCCGTAGGTAACCCAGATCCTGTGTCTTGAGCAGGCGCACCGTCTCCACGTCCATGGCCTTGTTGCCGCGATCGCCTTCGACCGTGCCGGTAAAGTTCCTTTTTTTGCCGTCGTAGGTGATGGCGGAACCGGGTCCCTTGCGGGACATCATGCCAAAGTAAAATTCATCTTCGTTCTTCTCGGCGACCTTCTGGCGCAACGACTTGAGGACTTCCTGCTTCTTCTTGTAGTCCTTGGCACGCTTTTGGTAGTCCTTCTTCTTTTCGAGAAGACCGAGACGTTGGCGCTCGAGTGGCTGGGCGCGCTCCTTATGGGAGCGGCGCTGAACGCTGCAATTGGAAAACGACGGATTTAGTCTCTGTTTGGTCAAGTGACTTCCAATGAGGAAACCTGAGCTTACCTGTTCCGTAGCGACGACATGGTTGATGTCCGTCTGTATTATGTGGCAGAGGTACGATATGATCCGGGAGAAACGCCAGCAAAGGGAGAGGGAGTCAATCGAAGGAAGCAATGAAGGCGGCTGCAAAGTGACCTTGGTTGCCGCTGAACGGTGTCTTCCACAGCGTGGCTGGCTGGTTCCAAAAATTTGGAGGAGCCTGGACCTGCGATAAGCGATAAGAGATTCACCCCGCTGACCGCCTAGGAAAGGGCCTGCATGAGAGTGGGTCATGGTAGGCTTGGCGACGGGAAGGTTCCGGGCCTTCCAAGCACGACTTCAGATGCAGACGGATCGATGCACTGATCGGACAGTGCAGGGGCTGTTTCATACAGTCGGGACTTCGATCCGACCTCACTCCGTCTTTCTAAAGACGCAAGTCTTTCCCAATGCTGGCGACTCGTTTTCGCTGTTGACCACGCTCTTCAACGTCCAATACAGTAACATCATGTGTTCAACCACCTGTAGAGGTCACGACATCTGTCGTTGAAATGCTCATCAGGTCTTTCTTGCAGGACTTCACTAGCAACCTGTGCCGACTCCAAACTTCATGCCCACTGTGCATGCTATGCCTTTCTCGGGCATTGGAACATCTAGAGATGACGTTCACCAATACCAAGCCCACGTTCGTCTGAACTTCCCGGATGCTTCGGTTCTGAGTCTGACTATTGTCCCTGGACACAACTAACGCCCAAGCGAGCTACGATAGCAGCCTCGATGATGATCGGCAAATGTGGAACGAAAGCAATATCTCGCGGGAAATGGGGTTGAGGCTCTGTCTTATAAGAGACTTGATGATGTCTCAAGGCGTCACTGACCTCAGCCCCCTCCCCCCAAGATTCTGGGCATGCATACTTGAACTGTAGTGTGGTCCTCGAGCTCCGCCAACGCGCGGCTGGCATGATGGAAGCAGGTTTGACCCAGCTTCATGTCCAGCAATGGACATGGACAGCTTGCGCAGGTGGTCCTTCCGGCTTGGTGTAGTCTTTTCTTTTGTCTTGTTTACGCGTGTGGGTTTTGCAATTCATCTTTTCTTTCTCTCCTCAAGTTATCTTGGCATATCAAGAGTTGGCTCAGCAATGCGCCAACCTCTTCACCCAAATCATGACTCCTTTGGCAAGCGGTCGTAGGCTTCAACGTCTGCTTCTCCTACTCGTTTTCTTCCTTGTCTTTGCCTACCTCTCCTATCCTTCATTGTCTCGATCTCAGGGATGGCAAGATGCAGAACCAGATGAAGAGTACATACCAACAAGTTTCGACTGGGCAAGTCGGCCAATGAAGAATCCGATACCTGAATCCTCACTTGTACAGCTTCCCAAAGGCCCTCCCCGTGAGCTTCCGCGTATTCAATATGCCTTCACCACAGACGAACTTGGCAAGGCGCATAACGAGACCCAATGGTATCGAAGAGATGCCGTCAGAAAGGCCGCTCAAAAATCATGGAAGTCTTACCGAGCGTTTGCCTGGCGACATGACGAGCTCGCTCCACAGTCGTTGACTGGAAAGGATAGCTTTGCTGGATGGGGTGCTACCTTGGTGGACTCGCTCGACACTCTCTGGATCATGGGGTTGAGGGAGGAATTCGACGAAGCTGTGCGCGCGGTGGGGGCCATCGACTGGAATAAGTCATCGTCTCCGCACTGCAGCTTGTTTGAAACAAACATTAGATATCTCGGCGGCCTACTCTCTGCCTACGACTTGAGTGGCCGGGAGATCCTCTTCAAGAAAGCGGTAGAGCTAGGTGACATGCTCTTCGCAGGCTTTGACACTCCCAACCACCTACCTGCCAACTCTTATGACTTCAAGAAGGCCAAGATTGGTGAGCTGAGCGCCTCATCACGCCAGTCCCTTGCAGTCCTCGGCTCCATGTCCATGGAATTCACCCGCCTCTCCCAGTTAACCGGTGACCCCAAGTACTATTCCATCGTGGAGCAGCTGAAAAAGGGCCTTGAAAAGACCCAAGAGCAAACCAACCTCCCCGGTCTCTGGCCGAAGTACATCGACCTTATAGAAGGAACCCGCCCCAGGTCCGACACCCTCTTCACCCTCGGCGCCCAAGCCGATTCCGCCTACGAATACCTCTCCAAGACCTACCTCCTCCTCGGCGGCCTCGACCCTTCCTACGAACTGATGCACGTCAAAGCCATGGACGCGGCCGTTAAGCACCTCCTGTTCCGCCCCATGCTCCCGTCCGGCGACGACGATACATACGAAGCTGGGTCTCCTCCTCCTCCCGATATTCTGTTCTCCGGCAACGCCGTGTCCACCCAACGCGATAAATCCCACCTCCAGCCGCGCGTCCAGCACCTCGGTTGTTTTGCCGGCGGTATGTTTGCGCTGGGCGGTAAGCTCTTTGACAGGCCCGACCACGTGCAAATCGGCGAGCAATTAGCCCGGGGCTGTGCATGGGCGTATGAAGCCTTTTCCACTGGCATCATGCCTGAGGTTTCCGAGCTTGTGCCGTGTGGTGAGAAGGTAGAGCGTGAGGCCGGAGAAGATGACGACCATCTCACACAAAAATGCCCATGGAACGAAGCAAAATGGCGACAAAAGAAAAAGAAAGCCGCAGCCGCTGCAGCAGCTGCAATGAACACCCGTTTCGCCGCCTCAGATACCACCAACTCCCAAACCACCACCCTCCCAAAACCTTTTACTAAACTCCTTGACCCCCACTACCTCCTCCGCCCTGAAGCCATCGAATCCCTCTTTGTCCTCTACCGCATAACGGGGAAAAAGGACCTTTTGGACATCGCCTGGCGCATGTTCCAATCCATCACCAAGGCCACAGAAACCAAGTTTGCCTTCTCCGCCATCGAGCATGTGCACATTCAAAACCCGGGACAGCCGACCACCAAAACGGACTCGATGGAGAGTTTTTGGATGGCCGAGACTTTGAAGTATTTCTATTTGATTTTTAGTCCCGAGGATGGCGGCGCTGCGGAAGGGTCCGGAGGGGAGGAGGAGGAGGGGTTGACTTTGGATGGATGGGTGTTTAATACCGAGGCTCATCCGTTTAGGGTACCGAGGCCGATTGATGGTTGAGGTGAAGGTGAGCAAGGGGGGGGTGAGGGTGAAGAAAAGTTGAAGTGAGGCGGCGAAGTAGACTGCTTTGCTATTCCCTCCATCGTTGTGTTTTCACCCTTTCTCGATGGGTTATAACGCATTGCGTGGGAAGGTGAGGTTGTAGGTTCTCGAAAACATTTTTTTTGGGGAGCTTGGTGGGCAACATAGATGCATATATGTAAACTTGTAGGTAGAGGGCATAAACAGGCGCAACATGGAGGAAGGATGAATCAAAGGTTGAGGGGAGTAAACGGAAGTATGTTCATACAAATACGGGGGACAGAAGGAAAAGAGAGACGTGTTTTTAAAAAAAAAGAAACAAGGGAGGGAAAAAACTTAATTGTACCTACCTTATGTTGATAAAGAGATTTGTTCGATTGGCTCTATTCTTACCAGACTTCCCTATATCCCCCTCCGGCTCCTTTTTGATACTATACAGATGCTTAGTAGATGTGTGCAGTCCACCCTCTCCCTTGTCTTCCGTCCCATTTCCTGAATCAACCCCGATTTATGAAAACATAACGCCATTGCAAATCAACCGTGGTTCGGCTAGCCACTCCTTGTCCGCTGGTCAAGTAAACAAACCCCCTGACTGCCCTTGTCCCGAAGCGTACAGAGTAGAGTCCCACATGCACCTTCCCCTTCAACAGCACAGCTGCGAGGCTAGCCTCTCAGAGTTTCTGTGAAACAAAACCCGCGGAACTGTTAGAAAGCGTCGAGAGTGATTGTCGTCCGAAAGCCGGGACTCGAATCTTGACCTGAAGTAGGACTCGGCGCAACAGCCTCATAGCCTTGCGGCACCCAATCCAGCCCCGGACCACCGCACCTCAAGCTTGTCTTTCTTAATTGTTCTGGCGAGTCGTAGTCAAGGGCGCAAAATTGTCTTTCCCCCGCGCTTCGCTTCTTCCCTCTTAAGACCTTCCATCTCGCTGTCCTCATCGGAACCCCCTCCCCTCCTCCCTCCCTCTCTCTCTCTCTCTTTCTCTTTCT